ATGTGCCATTGCAAATTCTTTCACAAGCACCAACGATGAACTTCCCACCGGTGGCTGCTGCCTCATCGTCACCAAATTTTTCCTGTTGATCATACAAAAATAATTGAGTTAGAAACAGTAAGGCCAACCGTTATTATCATTGATAATGTACATTTATTGCACTTGAATATTACCCTTGGATGCAAGTTTAGACTGATTTCTAACAAACTGCTACGGGTCACACTTGAGACCCCACCAGGACCCTGGTAAATCCGAATGTACCCAAAATCACATACAGATACCAGGATATCCAGTTGGAAATGCTTTTCGCCCTCCATCCTTCGGTTCTTTCTTTGGGACCCCAGATCATCCAGAAGATACACAAATAGGAAATCCCACATAATCATTCAATGCAAATCCCTGCAGTATGTTTGCCCATTTTAAGTGAAGATACCAGCTTTTGGGAGAATGAATGTGTTCTATGCACTGTCTATCGAATCCTATGTACGCAACAACTTATCTTATTAATTATTATACAGTAAGTTAAATTCCAGTCATGTAATTTTACAGTATAAGCAATCCAATTTGTGAATAATCAAACTGAAGAGCATAACTACACATTCTGCTATCTGCAAGAAAAAAAAAATGGGATGTGAAAACATCACCGTGTCCATCCTGATGTGCTCGAATATGCTGCCGGATTGATGCCCAAATTCACATCTCCCAGCTTGATGTCCCAGTCCCACCACAGTGCGTGGTCTCGTCCTGATGCAGCAGATGTCTCTGCCCAAATCGAAATCCATCAGCTGGATGCAGGACCAAATATATATACACATTGTAGACCTAAATTATCTTGACATTATTCTTTTCCCATTGCAATGCACAGGCAGGATCCTAATAAACAAAAAGAAACTAAAATCAGAAGTTAATAATCACACTGAATCCATGGGCAATGGTTAATATTCCAATCTTCCAACTTGTTTATCGGAGCACATCACCATGTATTAGTTTGATATGATTCACCAAGGGCCACTGATCTGATCTGAAAGTAACAGGGTAACATTGATCTGTAGCACCCATGAGAAAAATCCCTTACAGGCTACATCACTGAAAAATCAATGTGTAAAATATAGTAAAGCTGAAAAATGTTAGTCATTGAACTCTCACTCTCGGTAGTAGCAGAATTCTTACTCTCATCGAGAGAGGATGACACTAGGAGTTGGGGCAATTTTCTGGTTTATTTCTCACACAAACTCACACAAATGCCATGCCAGCTTGAGGGGTTGGGGATACATATTTATAGGCTGCTAGCCAGCCAAGCATATGTCAAGATGCTAGTCTAAGATGCTAGTCTAAAATGCTAATATGCTGTCCTCTAAGATGCTGTCCTAAGATGCCTCTAAGATGCTATCCTAAGGATGCTAAGATGCCAGTCAAAGATGCTGCTACTGCTGTCCTCTGTCCAGGATGCTGCTGCTGCTGTCCTCTAAAAACAGACCACAAAGATTGCTGCAGCTCCACAAAGACCACAGAGACTTATCCATCATTCTCCCCCTAAGTCTTGTGCGTCGTCTTGTGGGAAAGTTGAACCATCCCGGTCCTGGAGCAGAGCTCAAGGAACTTGATCGTCCCAAGGGGCTTGGTGAGCAGGTCCGCAAGCTGGTCCTTGGTGTTGATGTAGCTCGCCTTGATGCTCCCGTCGTCCAAACAGCCTCGGATGAAGTGGTACCTCACCCGGATGTGCTTACTCCGTTCATGGAAAACGGGGTTCTTTGCCAGGGCCAGAGCGGACTTGCTGTCCACCCTGAGCTCCACCGCTCTAGTGTCTCTGCCGAGGAGATCACCAAGCGCAGCGATCAGGCGAGCAGGCGCTGAGTCGAAGCGGTGGAGGCCGCTATGTACTCGGCCTCGCACTGGACAGGCCACCACTGCTTTGCTTGATCGATCGCCGACTAACGAGGCACTTGCCGAGGAAGAAGAGGATCCCGCTTCGTGCTCTTCTTTGGTGTCGATGTCGCCGTGGTGGGCGTCGTCATTTGTCATTGACCGAAGCGAAGTGTGCGCCCTGGGCACCTAGGGTAGTAGAGGCCGTGGTCGAGCGGCCCCATAACGTAGTGGATGATCCTCTTCACAACTTCTTTGGTGCTCCGTTGTCGGTCATTTGCATGAATCGACTAACGAGCCGACGGAGAATGCCAGTCCGGTGTGTGTGGGCGAGGTAGCGAAGGCTCCCACAAGACGCCGGCATCTGCAGAAGCGTCCACCTCCTCCGCCGCCCGTCTTTGTCGCGGCTCGGCTTCACTCTCTCCTCCATCGGAGTGAGAGCTGGGTTGCGATCGGTGAGCCCAGCTAGCTCAACGACAGCGCTTGGCGTGGCGCGATGCCGTCGAGCGTGATCCCGAGTCATCCCGGTGCACCTCGATCCCTAGGTAGAAGGAGAGAGGTCCCGGTCACTCATCCGGAAGGTGACCTTCATCTCTTCCTTGAATGCCGCCACCTCGCATCCTTGGTCTTTGGTGATCACCAAGTCGTCGGCGTGAGACACCCACCAAACAAAGCATTTCCTCCATTTGCCCGTCGGTAGATGGCCGCCTCGTCGCGGGCTTTGCTCAAGCCCATCCCTTTAGCGTGGAATCCGACTTGGCATTCCACGCCCTCGGTGCCCGCCGCAAGCCATAGAGGGCCTTGCGCGCGGTGAGCACCTGCCCTCCTTGCGGGGATCGCAAATCCCGTGGGCCGGTGCACGAGACCTCCTCCTTCAAGTCGCCGTTAGGAGGCGCCGACTTGGCGTCCATGTGATGAACACGCCAGACCCTCCTAGGCAGCTAGCGCAAGGAGGAGTCGCGACGGACTCCATCCGTGCCCGCGGGAGCAAAGGCGTCGTCGAAGTCGACCCCTCCTCGTTGCACGAAGCCTCGTGCCACCAAGCGAGCCTTGTGCTTGAGCGATGGCACCGGCTTCATCCCTCTTCGACTTGTACACCCACTTAAGGGTGATCGGCGTGGTGACCACGAGGAAGGTCGCAAGCTCCAGTGCGATTCTTCTCAACCGCATCCATCTCCAATCGCATCGCGGTAGCGCCATGCCGCGTGTTTCTCGGCCTCTGCAAACGACCGAGGCTCGCCGTCGTCACACGCAAGGTGCAACTGCGCCTCCAAGTCGTGAGGCACCGGTCCCGGCACCGGCTGGTCGCCGAGAAGGTTCTCCAACATACGGTACCGCAACGGCTCGCCGTCGTGGTATGCGTCGATGCGCTCCTCGTCGTGAGAGAGAGGAGTAGCGAGCTCAACGGGTGTGTGCTCTCGCACGAGCTGGTCTTTGGAGTGCGTGGCGTTGTTTATTGTGGTGGAGCCGGCGAAGAACTCATCGCAGCCGAGGTCCTGGCTAGAGAGCGTGGTGCTGTCGGAATAGCAGGCGCCGGGGTCAGTGGAGGCTCGGGGACTAGGGTAGACGCGCTCGCCGAAGAAGAGCTGCATACTCCCCTAGCTCCCTCGAAGTGGGACGTATTTCGGCGGTGAAGTCGCGCGACGCGTCGGAGCCGAGCCGCCGTCCACCGCTTTGTCCGACGCCCATCCTCGCGCCTTCGTCCGAACACAACATCGCTGCGTGCGTGCGCGACACGCTGTGTCTTCGGGTCGAAGATGCGGTAGGCCTTCGAGCCCTCCGCGTAGCCGATGAACACTCCCGGAGTGCTCCTATCGTCGAGCTTCTTGATGTGGCCAAGCTCCTTGGTGAACGAGGAGGCGGTAGAAGACCCGCAAGTGGGGAGACCGCCGACTTGCGCTCATGCCAAGCCTCGTGACGGCGTCCCCCGCCGAGCGCCTTTGGTAGGGCGAGCGGTTGAGGATGTAGCGGCCGTCACCACCGCCTCTCCCTAGAAGACAACCGGCATCCCCTCGCTTGAGGAGGGCCCGAGCCATCCCCACAACCGTCTGGTTGCGCCGCTCGACGACGCCGTTCTGCTGCGGGCTGTACGACGCGGAGTAGTGGCGCTGAATGCCCTCATCAGCGCAGTATGATGTGAATTCAGCCGCCATTGTCGGTGCGCAACACGCGCGACTGCGGCCGCACTCCGCCCTCCGCAGCAACTGCTGCATGGCGCGATGGCGGCGTCATGACCTCTCTCCCTTGTTGCCGAGGACCATCACCCACATGTAGCGGGAGAGGTCATCGACGAGCAGCAGGAAGTAGCGTCGTCCTCCCGGTGTGGCGGTGTCACCGGGCCACACACAGTCCCCTGCACAAGCTCGAGCCTCTCCTTGGCTCAAAGCTCGTCCCATTGGGAAAAAGGGAGTCGCCTCGCTTCGTCAACACGCAGAGCGTCGGCCGAGCTGCTCCACATGGTCGAGGCACGCGCAGACTCGCACCATCTCCGTGGCAATCGAGACACTTCGGGGCCTCGAAGTGAAGGTGCCCGAACGCTCGTGCATCGCCACGCCTCGTCATCCCGACGAAAGCGGCGAGACAGAGGGTTGTGCCACTTGCACGTTGAGGACGAGAGTCGATTTGCGCTTCGGTTACCTTGGCAAGAAGGCGCGCCGGCGATCCCAAATCCTCATGACTCCATCCTCAACCACCACGCGAACCATTCTCATCCGGTGTCCCAAGTCGATGATAGAGTTCCTCAATGCGGGGATGTAGTAGACTCGGTGAGCAACTTTGTGCTCACTCGAGACACGGCAGTGGTGAAGATGCGGAGAGCGCGCCTTGATCTCCACGCCGAGGCATCCCCAAACTTGACGGAGCCTCGGACGCTAGAGTCAAGCTCGGTGAAGAACTCCGTCGACCGGTCATGTGATGGGTGGCGCGGTGTCGAGGCACCACCCGTCAATGTTGTCGTTGCCGGAGCTGTCGCCGAGGAGGGCGTGTGCTTTTGGCTCGTCAAGGTGGAGGAGAGCCGCTGCGGCCGGTGCCGCTGTAGGTAGCTCGATGCTTGCATGTGCCATGAACAGAGCCGGCTCCTCCTCCGCCTGTGCGACGTGGGCCTGGTCGCGTCGTGGCTGTCGGCAGTCCTTGGCCCAATGGCCAATGGTGCGCGCGATTGCAGCAGGCGTCGTCTCGTCTTGCGGCTCGTGCACTGCTCGGTGGCGCCGCCTGGCGCCTCATGCCATCACCTCGGCACATCCTCGCGCCCCAGCTTGGGCATCTCTGCGCGCCTTGCGTGGCTTGCCACGCTTGCGACCGCCTGTCGCGGAAGAAGGCTCCCCCTTCTTCCGGTCACCTTGGCTGGCAAGCCACTGCTCCCGAATGAGGAGCTTCCCGCTAGTGGTGATGGGCCCCGAGAGAGACTGTGGCTCATCGTTGTCGATGACCTCACCTGGCTTGAATCTCGTGTCAATCAGTTGCTAAATGCTCCTAAGGTAATTTGTTTTGTTGGTCACACTTAAATTGGCATGAGTGAAATTAGATAGTTCGTGCCATTCTTTTTGCCTAGAATCCTTGCATATATATGTGTTTTTTTTGGAGTATCTGATGTCCACAGCAAACGAACCAATCCTTCTATATTAGCAGTTTGTTGTTTGTCTACTTGTCTAGACAAGTTAAAGGATATATGCTATGATCTATTTTTTATTTTTAGTACAATCATTATTTTAAGTATGTTATATGCACGTTTTTTGTAATATCAGTACAAATAACGCAGATGAGTTGATTTTATTGTAGTATTTTTTTTTGTTTTTTTTGAAGGCATGTCCTGATGTTGAAGTTTTAGGTGCCACAAGTGTGAGAGACCATTGCATACAATTAGGAAAGTTAAGTGATGACCTATATAATAGAAGAACTTTCAGTGTTATGCGAGCCCCCCCCCCACCCCCCCGGCAACAATTGATCTAACTACGGTTAGCCCAGAAGTCAGAGTTGCTGCTAGTAGGCCTCAGGATCATATTACAGGTGGACATCGTTTCCCTGTAACTGACGAAGAAAGGTGTTTCTATAATATCATTTGCGGACTAGCTCACAGCCAATGGAGTTGGTATGGCCTTTAACTATTTTTTGTTATATTTTTTTAAGTTCCTTTTGTTATTTGAACTATTAGTCATTATGAATTTGGGGTTTTATTTTGTTTTTTCCTTTTTTGTAGTCTGAAGGCAGTTGAATTTGCCAAGACCAGTGTTACGTATTGTTCTTTAGGTGAATCTATGCAACCTATGGGTAAAGTTGACAATTTTTTCGTTGCTATTATGTGTCGTAAATTTTTTGAGGATCAGCACCCAAGACAGTCCAAGAAACATTTCTTCTATCCAAAAGTTGGGGTAAGTTGAGCATCACCCTCGACACATCCTCGCGCCCGACACAGGCATCTTCAGGCGCCTTGCGTGGCTTGCCACGCTATATCACTTTGTCGCGGAAGAAGGCTCCCCCTTCTTCCGGTCACCTTGGCTGGCAAGCCACTGCCCCCGAGTGAGAAGGAGCTTCCCGCCAGTGGTGATGGGCCCCGAGAGAGACTGTGGCTCATCGCTGTCGACGAGCTTGAGGTGACCTATCCTGGCTTGAAGGCCAGGTTCTCCCACTCCTTGCGAAGTGCCTGCAGTGTGGACTTGCGGGCGCGGTCGCTGCCGATGCGAGCTTGATGGCGATGGCGTCCCAAGCCTCCTTGGCGATCCGCTTGTTGGTAAGCGAGAAGCGCATCTCAAAGCGGATCTGCAGGCGATGAGGGCATCCGGCGCCCGTCGATCTAGGTCGAGTCGACGTCGCCGTCTGGACCGCCTCCTCCCATGTCTGCACTTGGAGCTTTACCTCATCACCGCAGCCCAATCGACGTAGTTGGTCTTGGTGAGGGTAGGCCACCCACCGCCCGGGACCGACGCCCCCGACAAACGACCTAGAGCGCGTGGTAACCACGGCACCGATCCGGGAGAAGCGAGCCCACGCTGCTGTGAAGGCCGTGCTCTCCATCGACCGGCGGTACCGATCCGGGAGAGAGTGCCGCAGCGCTGCTGTGAAGGCCGCGCTCTCCATCAACCCATCCGCCACCGTTGCGTGCGCGCGCCTCCTCCAGAGCATCGCATCGGCCGCCAGCCGCGCCGCGCGCTTACCTCCCTCTCTAGCAGCTCGAGGTCGCGTCGTCGGTGTGTCGTCGTGAAATGGAGCTGCCGATCTTTGCCTTGTGAGCCTCGACCTCATTGCCGCCGCATGCGCTTGCCACGATTCGCCGCCGCCGCCGCTTCGCCGCGCCTGGCTGCCTTTTGCTGCCCGCCGTCGCGTCATTGCCGATGCCCTCGATGCCTTTCGCGCTTCGCTTCGCGCGTTCTGCTGCGGCAAGTTCGACTCTCCTGCCAGGCTCGAGGCGTGCTCGAGGAAGGCCGCTGAGCGCCTCATGGACATGACGCACTAGGGGGGCTGCTGCGTGGGGAGAGGGCTGCCAGAGCAGCCGCTCGTCTGTCAGGCAGAGGGAGAGGAGGAGCAGGGTGGCCGGAGGAGTTCTTTGCTACTAACATTTGAAATTTGTTGTAGGGGGAGGAGATAAGAGGAGATGCTCGAAGCTACTGAGGATAGTACTGGCTCGGATACCAGTTGTTAGTTGTTGAACTCTCACTCTCGGTAGTAGCAGAATTCTTACTCTCATCGAGAGAGGATGACACTAGGAGTTGGGGCAATTTTCTGGTTTATTTCTCACACAAACTCATACAAATGCCATACCAACCTGAGGGATTGTGGATACATATTTATAGGCTGCTAGCCAGCCAAGCATATGCCTAGATGTTATCCTAGATGCTGTCCTAGATGCTAAGATGCCAGTCAAGGATGCTGCTGTTGCTGTCCCAGTCAAGGATGCTGTCCTTGATGGCAGCAAAAACTCCACAAAGACTGCTGCAGCCCCACAAAGACAACATAGACTTATCCATCAGCTGCAGCCTCGCGTGCATTTGAATTTGTCTTTATCTATGCCCCAGCAATGCTTTGTCTATATCTGGCGGCGGGGGGGTCATGTGATTCTGCTATGGGTCTGTCTTTTTTTGTTTGTTTTCTTTTTTGATGTTTATTTTTTTTCCATTTGCAGGGCTGTCTTTACACCTATAATTGCGACTATGACATTGACACAGTGAAAATTGTTTTCTTGGAGCCAACTCTGCTTACAAGCTGCATTTGTCAGACAAGGTTTTTTCTTTTTTTAAGATTCTGGTTTCTTTTTTTTCCATGTATTAATCATCTTTTTTTCATGATGCAGCTGTGCTTTCCAGTTATCATACACAAGCATTGGTTTGTATTCATTGTTGATGTGAAGAACAAACTGTTTGTGTTTTTTTATTCTTATTTTCATGGTGGTGATCACATTCAAATCCAAGCAAAGACCAAGCTTGTAAGTTCATATTTTTTTTATTGTTCACTTTTTGAAACTAAATAAATCTTCCTTTTTTGTTTAGTTCTAAATTTCCCCCTCACTTTTTTTAGATAAATGCATTCAGGGAATGTTGGTACCAACACGCTGAGGGTAATGTAGATGTTGATGCGTTCTCTGTGCTATATCCTCCAGTTCCAAAACAGAGTAATGTGTAAGTGTTTTTTTTGTCGATGTAATGTATTTAAGTTGGGTTTCAGTTCATGTATGTATCTATTTGTGACGGTACCCATTACCTCATCTGTCATGTGGGGCCACAGCTACCACCGTCGCAGGCGCAACCGCGACGTGAGGCGGGCCGCGGAGCGCGCTGAGCGCGACGCCCAGGCCAGCACGCGCGATGCGCAGGGAACATCCAGTGGCTAGGATAGAAAGAAGGAAGATTTGATTGCTATCTTTCCCTAGAATCAAGGATTAGTTAGTTTCCTTTTCAACAGGCCGAGAGGCTATATGTATGGATCGAGGGCCATTTGATAAAGTAAGAAAGATCAGTTATCCTAAAACCTCCCTCTCTTCCCCAAAGACTCTCAAGCCCGATCACCGTGAGGGGTATAACCTCCAGATCGGAAGACACGGCTGACGGCTACGATCTACGTAGCCGCGGGCCGCCTACCCACGATCTCCAGGCCCTTGACAACCTGGTATCGGCTACCAGACGATCATCCTCCGCTACACCTTCCACCGCCGCCGCGCCATCTGCCCTCCACGCCCAGCCGCCACCACCACACTCCCCATCCGCATCCACCGCTACTTCTGTCGCCATGGCAGAACCCACGCTTGCTGCTCTTCTTGCCCAGATGCAAGCCATGACCGCCGACCTTGCCGCGCTGAAGACCGACATGGCCTCCGTGAAGGCACAGTCCGAGTCGTCCGGATCAGGGGGCGCCGATGGCCACCGTCAGTTCAGGCCGCGCGAGCAGGAGTTTCACCCGAAACACAAGAAGTGGGATTTTCCCCGCTTCGACGGCACCACCGATCCGATGCTCTTCATCAATAAGTGCGAGGCCTATTTCCGCCAACATCGCACCACGGTCGACGAGCGCGTGCTCATGGCGTCGTACCATCTGGACGACGTCGCGCAGCTCTGGTTCCTCCAGCTGCAGACGGATGACGGCACGCCGAACTGGAGCCACTTCAAGGATCTCCTCAACCTGCGGTTCGGCCCTCCCCTCCGTTCCGCGCCCATGTTCGAGCTCGCCGAATGCCGGCGCACGGGCACCGTGGCGGACTACTCCAACCAATTTCAGGCTCTCCTTCCGCGCGCGGGCCGGCTCGAGGAGTCGCAACGAGTCCAGCTCTACACCGGGGGCCTTCTTCCACCGCTCAGCCACGCCGTCCGGCTGCACCACCCGGCCACCCTCGTCGAAGCCATGAGCCTGGCGCGTGAGGTGGAGATGATGGAGGCCTCCCGTCCGCCGCCACCACTGCCTTCCCGAGCGCCCCAGCGCGGCGTTCTGCCCGCCCCGGCGCCACGGCCGGCGCTACCGGCCCCCCAGCAGCCCCTGGCGCTCCCGGCGCCACCTGTACCCGGACAGCAGGGTCGCGGCGAAGGACCTCCACGTCGACTCTCCCCGGCTGAGATGGCGGAACGGCGCCGCCAAGGCCTCTGCTTCAACTGCAACGAACCATACACCCGGGGCCATAACCGCTTCTGCAAACGCCTCTTCTTCGTCGACGGGGTGGAGGTCGATGACGCCGTGGATGCTTCGGAGGCAGCTCACGCCGCGACGAAGGCACCAGGAGCCGAAGCACCATGCTACTCCCTCCATGCCGTCGCTGGCGTTCCTGTCGCAGACACCATCCAGATCACGGTGTCGTGGGGGCGGCCTCCCTCCTCGCCTTGCTCGACAGCGGTTCCACGCATAGTTTCATCGGCGAGGACGCGGCGCGCCGTACCGGCCTGCCGATCCAGGACCGGCCACGCTTGACCGCCACGGTCGCCAACGGCGAGCGCGTGGCCTGCCCGGGCGTCATTAGGAACGCCCCCTTCTCCATCAACGGCACAGCTTTCCACACCGATCTCTTTGTGATGCCTCTTGCAGGGTACGAGGTTGTGCTGGGCACCTGCTGGATGGGCACACTCGGTCCCATCGTGTGGAACTTCGCGGATCGCGCGATGTCCTTCCACCAAGACGGCCGCACCATCACGTGGGCAGGCGTGCCGTCCTCGTCCGCCGCCAGCCTGCGCACCATCGCGGCGGCCAGTGGGACGCTCCTGGACGAGCTCCTGACCGCCTATGAGGACGTCTTCGCCACACCTTCAGGCCTGCCGCCACAGCGCACGCGGGACCACGCCATCGTCCTCAAACTCGGCTCGGCCCCCGTCGCCGTGCGGCCCTACCGCTATCCCGCGGCACACAAAGATGAGCTAGAGCGCCAGTGCGCCGCCATGATTCAGCAGGGCGTCGTCCGTCGCAGCGATTCGCCTTTTTCCTCCCCGGCCCTCCTCGTCCACAAGGCCGACGGCTCGTGGAGATTTTGCGTCGATTACCGCGCCCTCAACGCGCTGACCGTCAAGGACGCCTTCCCTATCCCGGTGGTGGATGAGCTCCTCGACGAGCTCCACGGCGCGCGCTTCTTCACCAAGCTCGACTTGCGCTCGGGCTACCACCAGGTGCGGATGCGCGCTGAGGACATCCACAAGACGGCGTTCCGCACCCACGACGGCCTCTACGAATTTCTGGTGATGCCGTTCGGGCTGTGCAACGCCCCGGCCACGTTCCAGGCGCTAATGAACGACGTCCTCCGAGCTTACCTTCGGCGGTTCGTCCTAGTCTTTTTCGATGACATCTTGATCTATAGTACCTCCTGGGCAGATCACCTCCGCCACCTGCGCATCGTCTTCGAGCTCCTGCGCCAGCACCGCCTGTTCGTCAAGCGCTCCAAGTGTTGTTTTGGTGTGGACGTCGTTGCCTATCTGGGCCACACCATTTCAGCCGCCGGCGTCGCCATGGACCCCAGCAAGGTCCAAGCCATCCACGAGTGGCCTCGGCCCCGTTCCGCGCGGGCGGTCCGTGGCTTCCTTGGGTTGGCGGGCTACTATCGGAAGTTCGTCCACAACTACGGCTCCATCGCCGCGCCCCTCACGGCGCTCTTGAAGAAGGACGGCTTCACTTGGGGGGCTGCCGCCGAGGAGGCGTTCGGCGCACTCAAGGCCGCCGTAACTTCGGCGCCAGTCTTGGCCTTGCCGGACTTTACCAAACTGTTCGTGGTGGAGTGCGACGCGTCGACATACGGCTTCGGCGCCGTCCTTTTGCAGGAGGGCCATCCCATCGCCTTCTTCAGCAGACCGGTGGCGCCACGACACCGCTCCCTAGCGGCGTATGAGCGGGAGCTCATTGGCCTCGTGCTCGCAGTGCGGCACCGGCGGCCATATCTGTGGGGCCGCTACTTCCTCGTCAAGACGGACCACCATAGCCTCAAGTTTCTGCTGGATCAACGCCTTGCCACCATTCCCCAGCACCATTGGGTTGGCAAGCTGCTCGGCTTCGACTTCGCCGTCGAGTACAAGTCCGGGGCAACCAACGTCGTGGCGGACGCCCTCTCGCGTCGCGATGCTGAGGAGGACAGCATGGGCGGTCTCCGCGCCATCTCGGCACCGCGCTTTGACTACATCAGCCGTCTCCGCTAGGCACAGGCCGTCGACCCTGCCCTGGTCGCGATCCACGACGAGGTGCGCGCGGGCTCCAGAACCGCTCCATGGGCGGTCAGGGACGACATGGTACTCTATGACGGGCGCCTCTACATCCCGCCTACATCGCCCCTGCTCCAGAAGATTGTTGCTGCGATCCATGACGATGGGCATGAAGGCGTTCAGCGCACCTGGCACCGGCTGCAGCGCGATTTCCACTTCCCCAACATGCGCCGCATCGTCCAGGACTTCGTGCGGGACTGCGCCACGTGCCAACGATTCAAGTCCGAGCATCTACGGCCGGCGGGTCTCTTGCTGCCCCTCCCAGTGCCATCTATGGTCTGGGCCGACATTGGGCTGGATTTCATCGAGGCGCTGCCTAAGGTCGACGGGAAGTCGGTCATCCTCTCCGTCGTCGACCGCTTCAGCAAGTACTGCCACTTCATCGCACTCGGGCATCCGTATACCGCCGAGTCCGTGGCCCAGGCCTTCTTCACCAACATCGTCCGCCTCCACGGGATGCCTCAGTCCATTGTCTCCGACCGGGACCCGGTGTTCACGTCCGTCTTTTGGCGTGAGCTCATGAGACTCATGGGCACCAAGCTGCACATGACCTCCGCCTTCCACCCCCAGTCGGATGGCCAAACCGAGGCAGCGAACCGCGTCATAGTCATGTATCTCCGTTGTTTCACAGGAGATCGCCCTCGCCGATGGTTCGGTGGTCGCCATGGGCGTAATACGTCTACAACACGGCCTTCCGATCGCCGCGCGGAGACGCGTGCCCGGTGGTCTACGGCCGCGACCCTCCGACCATACGCTCGTATGAGCCGGGCGAGACCCGTGTCGCAGCTGTGGCCCGCGACATGGAGGAGCGCGAGGAGTTCCTCGCCGAGGTCCGCCATCGCTTGGAGCAAGCCCAGGCGGTGCAGAAGCTGCACTACGACCGCCATCATCGCCCAGTCGCCACGCCCGCGTTGGCGATTGGGCCTTCGCTGCGTCTTCATCGGCCAGCGACGCGTCCCTCCCCGCACCACACCACGCCGGGCAAGTGAAGGGTCCGCTACCTGGGGCCCTACCGGGTCATCGAGAAGATCAATGAGGTCGCGGTGCGGCTTGAGCTCCCTCCGCAAGCCCGTATCCACGACGTATTCCACGTCGGGACCCTCAAGAAGTTCAGTGGCACTCCACCGGCCACCCCACCTCCTCTGCCGGACATCCAGCATGGCGCGGTGCTTCCAGCTCCCGACCGAGTCACTCAGGCTCGCCTAGCATGTGGCGTCACCCAGGTTCTGGTCTTCTGGCGCGGCGAGCCTGCTTCTTCGGCCTCCTGGGAAGACCTCGACGCTCACGCTTTCGCGCTTCATATCAGATTTCCGGCTCGAGGACGAAATTTGGGTCTCGAGGAGGCGAGAGATGTCATGTGGGGGCCACACTACCACCGTCGCAGGTAAACCCATGACGTGAGGCGGGGGGGAATGAGGCCTTGTTGCCGACGCCCGACGCGACGCCCGAAGAAGACGCGCGATGCGCAGGGAACATCCAGTGGCTAGGATAGAAAGAAGGAAGATTTGATTGCTATCTTTCCCTAGAATCAAGGATTAGTTAGTTTCCTTTTCAACAGGCCGAGAGGCTATATGTATGGATCGAGGGCCATTTGATAAAGTAAGAAAGATCAGTTATCCTAAAACCTCCCTCTCTTCCCCAAAGACTCTCAAGCCCAATCACCGTGAGGGGTATAACCTCCAGATCGGAAGACACGGCTGACGGCTACGATCTACGTAGCCGCGGGCCGCCTACCCACGATCTCCAGGCCCTTGACATCATCAGTGACGTTTGGTTCTGAAATAGGTGGGTTTTTGATGTGTTGGGTGTTTTTTGTTAACTAGTGTTTTTGCTGGGGTTTTTTTGGGCAACTGTTTTTTTTTGTGGCGCCTATTTTAGAATGGGGTTTTGATAAGCGGATGGACTTTTTTGCTGTCTGGTGTTATTTTTGTGTGTGGAGATTTTAGTTGCGGGACTTACATGCACCCATGCAAGGTGTGGTTGTTGGCATGGTGATCTGTATGGTTTTTTAAATTTGTGCAGCTTTTGTTTAAAATGGATTTAGGACAATTCAAGCGAACGAGAGTACTGTAGCATCATGCAAGTATATGTTAGTTTTGTGTCAGTTTTTTGTGATCTGTGTTGTGACTCGAGATTATATGTTTCCATGTTTTTGAGGAACATTTTTACTTCTTTTTTGAAAAGAAAAACCTTTTTTGTCCAA